GCGCAGCGGCGGGCGATGGCAGCGCGCTCGGCAGCAGGGGCCAGCAGCGCGCGCAGCGGGCGACGGCAGGGGGCGCAGCGGCGACGCGCGCAGCGGCGGGCGACGACGGCGGGGCCGCGGCGAGGCGCGCAGGGGGCGGGCGACGGCGGCAGGCGCGGCGGCGACGAGCGCGGTCGCGAGCGACAGTGGCGGGCGCTGCGGGACGGGCAACGCGACGGGGGGAGAGGGCGGGAGCGACGGGACAGGGGGAGGGCGACGCGACGGGGGGAAAGGGGCGGGTGCGACGGGACAGGGGGAGGGCGAAGCGACGGGGGGAAGGGGCGGACGCGACGGGACAGGGGGAAGGCGACGCGACGGGGGGAAGGAGCGGACGCGACGCGACGGGGGGAGCGCGACGCGACAGGGGGAAAGGGACGGGCGCGTCTCGAGGGGGGGGGGAAGGCGACGCGACGGGGGGGCGGTAACAGCTGGAACGATACGAACGAGAGCGTGGGTCGTTGCTAGGCTCGGTAACAGCTGGAACGATACGAACGAGAGCGTGGCTCGGCGCTAGGCTCGGTAACAACGAGAAGGAGACGAACGAGAGCTAGGATCAGGCTCGGGTGGTACGAACGGAGAACGGCGGAACGGGATCCCACAGGATCCTAACCTAACTGATACCATGTCAAAATGAAGAATGGATGATGCATTGATGTTGGTTGGGGTACATATAGCTAACCCTAAGTTTTGTACCCCCTAAGACAAACCTCACTATAGGCTACAATATTTGACAGTTAAGTACTAACCATCATTGCAAAGAAATCTAAAAATGAATCAACTACCGAAATTGCTATCAAGGAGCACTTGGCAACACATCAAGAAGTATCTACGGTTAACATTCGAGGTTAGATGTCCACCTTGAGAAGCATCTTTGTCTGAATTGTTTGCCAGCTACATGCACTTCTTCATGCAGAAAGAAAAGCACATTAGACATAGCTGTGTGCACAAATACGATGGTCGCCTCAAAAGGATCCCCAACTAGTGGCTTTAAGACCACGGGGCCGCGTTCAGAGTGGGGAAGAAATCTGGTGTGCTTCAGCCTGCTCCTAAAAGAGCGGGGGCTGATTTAGAAGAATTTTATGAGGATAAGAGGAAACCGCGATCGGAGCAAGTCAGCAGGGTAACCTCAATCTGTCGGAAAAAACGTGAGAAGAGAGAAAGGTTGAGCCACATGTAGACTGCAACCGATGGTGTCTCTATTATGTCTGTATGAAACCGATCTTGCAGTGTCGACGGCCAAATGATGACAAAGGCTGGCACCAGCCCATTGGTTTTGAAATGTTTTTGGTTCCAGAATACGCGGTTTGATGAAGCATGGTCACCTGAAGAGTACAAGGTGGACGAAATTCACCGAACAGCCAGAAACGTGTTGCGTTACCTTGATGTTGCGTAACCTTGATGTTGCGTTACCTTGATGTTGCGTTACCTTGATGTTGCGCAACCTTGATGTTGCGTTACCTTGATGTTGCGTTACCTTGATGTTGCGTAACCTTGATGTTGCGTAACCTTGATGTTGCGTAACCTTGATGTTGCGTAACCTTGATGTTGCGTAACCTTGATGTTGCGTAACCTTGATGTTGCGTAACCTTGATGTTGGGGTCGAGCAAGTTCTCACGTGTACCTCCAGGTCACTCTGCGAACCGAGCTATATACATGTCTTAAATGTAGTGTCCGTGGCATGGCGGAGTCATCCTAACCAACATCCTTGGAAGCATCTTGTCCAGCCAGAGCATGAAATCCACAGCGAAGCAGACTGCTATAACAGTTCGCTTGCTTTTGGCAAAACATTTGCTTGTCAGACTCCACGCAGCAATTCATTACAACCCTCTCCAGTATGGGTCACGACAGGAAGAGAACTTGGGTGTCTCCGCCACTGAAGGGGGCTGCTACTGGCATCGAGTCCTTAATGTGGTGAGGCGCTGGGTTACAGTGAAGCATTGTCTTAGGTAGCCAAAAGAATCCCTTTCAACAAGCAGGCAGCCATAGGGAGTCACGTACATACACCCGTGTAACACCTATGGCTGTCGTTCATCATTTAACCAGCAACTCACATTCGAAGTCACCCACAAGTGGGAGGCAGCTATCAACTACCTGACAACTGCCGCAGCGATCCCAGTCCCCAATACTGACAACCGAACCGAACACTACACACCAGAAAGGGTGTTCGATGTTCGCCAAGAGAGGCGAACACGAACACGAACACGAACACGTTCGCCCATAACATGTTCGCGTTCGCCTTAAAGGACCTTCTCAGATCCAAGTAGAGTAAAATTCAAATGTTTCACATTCCCTCCCCCCACCCCCCAAGCCAGTCCCGCCCTGCTTTATCCATGCTAGTGCCAGTGTGTGACGGTGAAAGGCTAGATCTGCACTTAAGCAACGGCAAAATGCTAGATCTACGCTTAAGCAACGGCGAAATGCTAGATCTACGCTTAACCAATGGCGAAATGTTAGGTCTGAGCTTAAGCAACGGCGAAATGCTTGATCCGCACTTACGCAACGGCGAAATGCTAGATCTGTAATTAAGCAGCGGCGAAATGCCTTGATCCGCACTTAAGCAACGGCGAAATGCCTTGATCTGAGCCCAAACACCAAGGCCCGCGACCTAAAAATTGGTTGCGGGCCTAAACGTCGACGAACACATTGGTGTTCGTCGAAGGCACGTGTCGAACACGAACACGTTCGTGTTCGACGCGCCTCGGCCAGCTGAGCTGGGCGAACGGCGAACGTGTTCGGGCGAACACCGAGCACGTTCGCCCCGAACAATTTAGGCCAAAAAAAAATCCTGTTCAGTTCGCCTCGAACACGTTCGAGGCGAACCGAACAAGAGTTCGTCATATTGCTCATCCCTAATGGAGTGCACACCCCCGCTATGATGGAGTGCAGAGCCCCGTCGTGATGGAGTGCAGAGCCCCGCCGTGAGTGCAGAGAGCCCCGCTGCACACCATCGGAGATGTTTCCGGTGGTGTACGGGGCGCGATGCCTTAAACAGGAAGGACAGGTTGAGGGTGAGTCCGAGAAGACCTCTTCCGGACGGATTCACAATGTGATCAGGTAGCCATCCCAGTACTGCACTTGAAAGGACAAGTTCTCCATCACACATGCTGCATCCTCAAGCTCCATATTGCGGTAACGGGAGACAGTATGCAAGCCACGCTCTGGCCTTTTTTTTTTTAGTCTTGGGAAAAGATTTTTGACCTGAGCATCATGGTTTTGGACGCGAGCAGACACCTGTGATGCTGTCAGCTGCCCGAACCAGCAAAGCAAGAAGCTGTGATGGTTCTCGTGCGGCCCTGATCACAGGCTGCCTCTGTCGTTTTTTGGACCCTTGACTTTCTCACTGTTGATGAATTTCCGAAGGCGGTGGGCTGCATGCCGCTTCTGTGGTGTCGGAGGTGGTGCCGCTGCTGAGTGGATAAAATATAGTGCCTTTGAAGCGATACATTCTTCCTGAAACCGCTTCAAGTCTTCAAGTAAATCTCTGTGAAGGGCTCCTCCTTTACAGAGACAAACTGACCTGGCTGACGAGTCCCTTCATTCTAGTGAGATTGCTTTTCGCCTCAAGCAGAGTCATCGCGGAATCCCTTAACAGCCAACGCAGTCCAATCCTTAAACGGTTGGGGTATTGGAGTGTTGTCAATTCTAGATGGTTTAGGGGGAGGGTTTTCAGCTTGCTTGCTCAATTGATAGGCTCGTGGATTAGTGCTAGTAAGGAATCCTTGGTCGTTCGTGCTCCTGGTTGTTGTTGAGCTCTCCATACATTGCGCAAAAATCCTCCCTCTACATTGTTCCCCATATAAAAACCGCGTGAAGTGAGAGGACTTTTTAGGCACCTACAACTATATGCTTGGTCGTGTATGGCAGCAATGTCGAAAATGACTGGAACTCACAGGACTTGGAGAGCCGTGAGGGCGCCTATGGCGGGGGGAATGGCACCAGACAGGTGGTTGTTGGAGAGATCGCTGAGATGGGGACATGCAGGCCATGGAGAATGGAGGATTGTGATGGCAATGATATGATACGTGGGGACGCATAGATGACTTCGGCATGACATGAGACAAGGCATGGAAGAGAGACACATGATGGAGGCATGGGAGTGGAATCAGGATGTGGAGCGCTGAAAGTTGCTGGGCTGGGCTGTGATAGCACATGGATGAGTATCGCCATAACCATTCATGCCATGAGTCACGAAACATGGGAATCAATGGCGTGATGTGAGAAGAGGTGAGGCGACACATGGAGCACGTGAAATGCAGGTGATGTTAGACACTAATGCAATGGCACGCACAGGCTAGTAAGAGCACGCATGTGCGAGATGGCGTCTGGAATGGAGTCGTCCAGTGCGTTGTCGTGCAGATCACTGGACAGTGTGAGATGGGGAGTGGGAAAGAGGGAGAGTGGGAGAGGGGGAAAAAGGGAGAGAGGGAGAGAGGGTTTGGTTTAGCCTGCTACCGACTGGGTTAAAAGGGCATGTTTGTATGGTGGACAACTAGCATGACAACGACTACATCAATGGCAAGCAAGGACAACTAGGCAAGCTTACATGGAACGGGTCTACACGCGCGCGAGGGGCGCGCCTACATGCGGTCCGCCTCAAGCTCACCTAGCATTTCGCGCGTGGTCAACCACATCAAGCAGACCACTGACGTGGTGGCGCCGACAACGTCAACAGGAGTTCCGCGTTCTCCTACAAGCGCCTTCAGATCCAGGGCCTTCTCAGCCAGTAGGGTGGCCGAGACTACTCCCGACGAGGGCGCATGGTGTTGACGCCACCACGTGACACCTTGCTCGCGGCATCTGAGAAAACATGTTCGGTGGGGTCACCGACATGGAGCCGTGAGACTCCACAAGAACCATCTCAAGACTCTGAAGACACTCTGCCAGCGACCACATGTGCGCCAGGGTCGCTGTGGGCACTTCCTTCCTCGTCGGCAGCAATGCAGAGGCTCGAGCTCGACGCGATGAGACCGCATAATCTCGCGGAGGTGGGGCAGGACGCGGCGGAACATACGGGGCCCATGGATCCCCGCCACCCGCTCCCACGAAGCCAGCCCCCGCAGGCAGCGGACTACCAGGACGCACAAGAGACCCCACTGGGTTGTGAAGCAAGAAAGCAGCAAGGGGAGCGACAGGTGTTGCTGGATGCGCGGCTTGAGATGATGACTTCGAACGGTGGAGTGCTTGCTCTACACCATCCAGCCTCTGGAGGACACGCTCCATCGTGGTCGGCGCCTGACGCGCCCATCCGCCACGGCCATAGCCGCCCTACCGGCCACGGCGCCCACGACCACTTGCATTCGAGCGCACAAGCGATGGACGGCAAGACGGGACGCGTTGGCACGGGCGGTCAGGAGATCGTCCCCCACGACGAGGAGAGTAGAACCTCTGGCGCTTCAACAGCCGCGTCGAACGCGGGGAGGGGGACCGACGATGCGAGGCGCGACGATCAGGAGAATGCTGACGTGTCGAATGGCGAGCGGGGGATTGGTGACGACGCGTCCAGCGATCTCAGGACGGGCTTCGCGACGCCACGTGGCAAGACTCCTCGCGACGGCTCGCCCGCCCCTCCTCGCGTGTAACTGACGAGCGGTGCCGAGGCGAACGCCCCCGGTGCGCCGCAGCCTCCACGTCGGAGCCCCTCGCCCCTCGCATGTTGGGCCCCTCGCGCGCCAATTCCTTACGAGGGGGGGTCCTCGCCAACTCGCGCCGATGTTCCTCGAAGCGGCGGCGGACCTGTTCAGACGTCCCAATGGGAGTACAGGGACACTCGCAGCAGGACGCGCAGGAGGAAGCGGGCGGGGAGCATGATCGCTCTCCGCGGTACGCTCGTGGGCCGAAGCGGCGGTCAGATCCATCGGGCCGACAGGGGGATGCCGCGCGGGTCGCGGACATATGACTTCCTGTAGTAAGCCCTACGGGACAAGGGGGGAGCGCAACTATTCGCGGAGGGAGAGCTCGCGACGGTGGACCAGAGAACGTTTACCAGCAGGCGGGCAGACGGGTTTTAACGAATCTGAATGAAGATATTGATATTAGCACTTCGGATGTTAGCTTTGTACCTGCCGAATCCACGGACTCGACTTCTAGCTCTGAGCCTGTCGATGAAGCGCAGCTTCAGACTCCTGCTCTAGCAGGCAGGGCAACGCCTTCCCACACTACTGGGAGATCTGTGAGGAGGGGAAATGCTGCCACACCACCACCGCCAACCACAATTTCCCACATTCAGACCCCTGCACAAACCGCCCATCCATCTGCACCTGGCGGAACCCCGTTCTAACCCAACCTCTCGAGGAAAAATGTCCCGAAACCCGGGCCAAGGACGACGCCCTATTTGATGCGATGGAAATGTGGGACTTGGCGAAACTTCGCGCCAGTCGCCATGCCTTTCTCTCTCGCCACCTCCCCCGCGACCAACGAAAGCTCTTCGCCATGGCCATGCTAGTGCCAGTATTGCGCCTGGCGAAGGATCCTGACTCCTACTCAGCATGGGTGGTGCTCCTCTTTCTCGCACGCCTTACACTTTGCCAACCGTCACCGAGACAATCTGATTGGCCCACTGTCACAGCTCGACTAACCCAATTTCTGTCGGGGAAATGGGATAAGCTGTATTTGGACACCGTGGACTCCTTGTCGTGGCCTCGGCCACCCAGACATCAACCTGATGACGTCGGCATTATTGCGCGAGCTGAGGGGTTAGCAAGACGTGGCAGCTTGCGACGTGCGATAATGGCTCTGAAAGCCACACCAGTCTGCACTCCGTCTCCAATTGTGCTGGAGGCACTACGCTCCAAGCACCCGCCCACGCCAGCCTCTTAACCGGACTGGACATTCCCGACACTAGATCCTCACCTGTCTGCACCTTTTGAGATGTTCTCCAAGGTGTTGGGACGCTGCGAGATGGCAGTTGGGGCAGGCCCTTCTGGAAAAACGTTCGAACACTTACGGGATCCAGTGCTCATCAACGCCTTGGTAGCACTTGCATGCACTCATGAACATCAACTTAACGGGGAAACTACCGCCTGCCGTAGCTGAACTCCTTGGTGCTTCCTGCTTACCAGCACTTACCAAACCAGACGGAGGGACGCGGCCGATCGCTATCGGAAAAAGCCTCTTATGCCTCGCCGCAAAGACAGCCCTTGCCCTGACAGCTGGTGCCGCGCGAGATTTCTTCCTTCCTCACCAGTTCGGCCTGGCTGTCCTGGGTGGAGCAGAGGCAATCATTCACATCACCCGCACTTACCTCACCGTAAATCCAGGCGCGCTGGTTCTGCAAGCTGACATAGCGAACGCTTTCAACAGCGTTGACCGGGCGGCGATTGTAGCATCCCTCATTGGTTCCTTGCTAGCCTCACTACTCCACCTGGTAACATTTTCCTACGGCCAACCCTCAGCGCTATGCCTTGACGCAGGCTTCTCACACGCACCTCTCTGGACTGAAACCGGGGTGAGGCAAGGCGATCCCCTCGGCCCTCTGCTTTTTGCTGCAGCCATGCATCCTGCGCTCAAACAAACTGCTCCGGCATACTCGCCCGTAGTATGCCTCGCATACGCGGACAACGTAACTTTCTTGGGGGAGGCGGCGGACTGTATGGCGGCTTTCAACAATTTCACCACCGACCTCATTGGGACTGGGCTGCATCACAACCCATCCAAATGCGCGGAATGGTCTCAAGTTGGGCAGCAGCCAGCACTTTTGCCCCACGGCGTGCCTTTCACTGATGGTGGGGTGAACGTGCTCGGCAGCTTCATTGGCGGCAATGACGCTACAGCAACCTTTCTTCGCGAGGCAGCTAGCTTCCCTCTTGCTCACCCGCTGCATTTCGCGTCGCGTCCGCTACGTGGCCTGCACAATTGAGGAATGGTCAGATTGGGGCAAGCGGTTGTTTGAAACCTTGCTAACAGCTTGCGGGATCTGCCAGCCGAGGGGTGAAGCTGAGAATGCACGTACCTGGGCACAAATCACTCCCGGTCTCGCTTGGAGGCATGGGCCTGGCGGACCCTTCGATAGAGGAACGTGTTGGATTCCTTGCTAGTTACACACAAGCAAGCCACCTACTCACCTCCATCGATGAGGCATCAGTCGGAGCTCTAGCCGAAACTCGGGCTCAGATGTCAGGGCCATTCCAGAACACAGCACCCCTCTTTGACTGGTTGGACAGGTGTGAGGAGGCGTTGCCAGATGAAGGGAAGGAGCTGTTGCGGAGCGAGCGTGATGAGCCAAAAGGCATCAACCCACAACACGGGCTCATCATATTAGTCCAAGAGTTGCGCTATGCCGAGCAGGTCCGGGACACGCGCATGATGCAACTCAATCCCCTCAACGGCCACACCCAGCAAATGCTTTCCTTATCGGGTTACGGGGCAGGGGACTGGCTGCATGCGGTTCCCTTCGACTCATCTCTCCGCCCTGCCCCAACCCACTTCGCCCACGTGTTGCAGTTTCGGATGGGTCTGCCCTCTTCAACCCCCGGAGCTTGTGATTGCCGTAAGGAGGTAGCAATCCCAGATAGGAGGCTGCCCAACCACCTGCTCCGCTGCGACACAGGGGGAAGCGGACTAATACCCACAACGAACTGCGGGACGAGTGCGTTCGCACGGCGGAAGACGCGGGCTTCATGACCCCCATAGCGAAACAGCGGCGTTTAGCCCGGCCACTAGGAAAAAGGTTGACATTGCCATACGCGACTGTTCCTCTGGGGCTGTATGGATTGGGGACGTGGCAATCACGGACCCCATTAGTATCCGTGACCCCAATGCGATACTTACAGGAAAGCTACCACCAGCAGTAGCCGAGCTCCTCGCCGCCTCGGGGCTGATTGCCCTCACCAAGCCCGATGGAGGGACGCGACCGATAGCTATTGGCGAGAGCATCACACGCCTCGCAGCTAAGACATCGCTTACCTTGACCGCGGGAGCCGCTAGAGAATTTTTCCTTCCGAACCAGTTTGGCGTGCGGTTCCTGGAGGGGCAGAGGCATTAATCCACATCACACGCACTTACCTTGCAATGAACACGGGGGCCTTGGTCCTGCAGGCAGATTTGGCGAACGCGTTCAACAGCGTGAATAGGGCGGCCATTGTCACGTCTCTTCGCGGATCTCCACTCGCTCCCCTCCTGTCGCTAGTGAAATTGCTGTACGGTCTCCCCTCGGCCCTATGCCTAGACGCTGGCTTCTCACACCCACCCCTCCTCAGCGAGACCGGGGTACGGCAGGGAGACCCCCTCGGTCCACTGCTATTTGCTGCTGCGATTCACCCTGCACTGACAAAGACGTCTCTCACCTTTCCGTCCGTGGTTTGCCTAGCTTACGCGGACGACGTTATCTTTCTCGGGGAGCCAGCTTCGTGTGCGGCAGCGTTTGATGACTTCTCGGGGAACCTTGGGGAGATTGGGCTGCGCCACAACCCAGCCAAATGCGCGGCGTGGTCACAGACAGGAAGGCGGGGAGCGGTCTTACCGGAAGGCGTACCGTTCACGGATGATGGAGTGAAGGTGCTTGGCAGCTTCATTGGTGGTTCCGAGGCAACAGCGGCTTTCCTGCACGATAGCCTCGATAACATGGGCGGGCCCCTTCCCTTGATCGCGCGGATGGAGCCGCAGTTGGCCTCCCTATTTCTCACACGGTGCATCTCTCGACGGGTCTCTTACGTGGCCCACACCACACCCCACTCTACCCTCCCAGTCGAAGAATGGTCCGACTGGGGCAAGCGGCTCTTTGAAACGCTATTGACGGCCTGCGGCATTCGCAACCCACGAGGAGAGGCCGAGACCTCATGCACTTAGGCACAAGCCTCGCTTCCCATCTCGCTTGGAGGCTTGGAGCTTTCAGATCCATCGGTGGAGGGACGCGTGGGTTTCCTTGCGAGCTACACCCAAGCCCAGCACCTGCTCACCTCCCTTGACGAAGCGGCCGTTGGCGCTCTAGCGGAGACAAGGACTCAGATGAAGGGACCCTTTGCCAACATTACTCCCTTATTTGACTGGCTGGAGCGGTGGGAGGAGTCGCTGCCGGACGACGGAAAGGAGCTGCTGCAGAGTGACAGGGTCGATCCCAAAGGTGTCAAACTGCAGCATGGGCTGGCCATCGCAGTGCACGGACAGCGCTACGCCGAGCAGGTGCAAGCCACACGCATTATGCCGCTGAACCTACTTAGGGGGCACACGCAGCGCATGCTCTTGCTCTCGGGGTACGGGGCGGGGGACTGGCTCAACGCGGTCCCCTTCAACAAGTCGCTGCGCCTTGCCCCGGCCCACTTTGCCCACGCGCTGGAGTTCCGAATGGGGCTGCCCTCCTCGGCACCTGGTGCCTGTGACTGCCGCACGGAGATACGGCTGCCCATGCGCGAAAGTGCCACAATTTCTCAAGCTTATGGCTGACACTGCCGCCCGAAGGCACCTCAATGCGGCCCCTTCCTCTTACTAGGCAACAAAATTGCTGCACCAGTTTCGCCAGCGGTGGTCCGTGGCGTTGCAGCGGGCTCAATCCGTGAGCTTCATGACGAAGTGTAACTTCGCAGCTCAGGTGGAGAACCCACCAGTGGGGATGCCGGGCGATGGCATGTCCCTTGCCATCTTGGAGCCGGTTCTGGAGCCCCCTTAGATGGAGCGCGGGTGTGAGTAGGATATAGGAGTGTCAGAGGCCTTTTTGCTCCTAGACACTATATCCTTTGTGCATGTCTGTACTTGCTCAGATCTAATACACGGACCGCTTGAGAGGATCCCTTAGCCCTCTGCCCTCTGCCTCATCCCTTTGCCCTCTGCCCTCCCAAGCTATTGAATTGCTGTGTGAGCTTGTTTCTCTTCATTATTTCGTGGCGAGTTCATTTTCGGCGGCTCGCGCCGGCGGCCTTCGGCCGCGCGCTCTTGGTGGCAACGAATTCAAGCGACAACAACGCCTTAGAGGGGTACACACACACAACACAAGCAAGGGAGTGGGGTGGGGATCTACCTAGAGGAACGACATGCAACACTACAAGCGGCGGAAGCCTACATCGTGTACGACTCCGTTTCCTCCACCTCAAGCATCGAACGCATGCACGCCGACACCGCGAGAAGGAGCTACGCGGACGACTGAAGCGTGTATGCCACTGATCCGTCATGGACTGCCACAACAAGATCCTCCACGTGGCGGGGGAAGGTACGCGCTAAGGGCGCTACCCCGGCGGGCGCTTCCGACACGGGTGCCAAAATCGGGGCGAGAGCTTCTGCCCAAGACACGCATGATCCTCGGGGACCTGGAGCGAAACTGCTCGGAGAGTTTCGCATGGCCCTACACACTCGCCACCACCTCGCACGCCTCCGCAAGATTTAGCACCCTGCACATTGTCAGCATGGGGTCTCTCCCCGCGAGATTGGGGTGAGGTACAATCGAAGCTTCGCGCGGATACGCCGTCACCCGGCTCGGGGCTCGGCCGACCGAGATGTGCTGCGCGGAGAAGCTAGGGACCTGACGAGGGGTACGGAACAGCGCCCTTCCTTCCCGCGCGGGCAGATAATTGTTCAAAGTCGGCGCGCGCAGAGGAGCCACGAGGTCAGGGGCCGGGACGTGAGGAGGCCCATTGGTTACTGCGATGTGGACGTGAGTCGGCTCCCCACCCGCCCGCGCCTGGCGCACCGCCGCTACAAACGCGTTCACAGCCTGATCGACTGCAGCATCCTACCCGCGACCGTTTCCGCCTCGACCCGCTCCATTCCGCCGACCCCGTCGGCCACTAGGGCCAGCCGAGTGCGGGCGCGGGGGGGACTGCTCGCGGCGCCTAGAATCCCAGCGACGCCCAGGTGACCCCCTCCCCTGCCTCGCCGGAGATCGACGCGGAGAGCGCTACGCGGGGAATCGCGCTCGCGGTGAGCGCTGGGCTGCCCGACCTCGGGGGGATCGGTGATGAGGAGAGCGCGGGCTCGCAGGAGACAGCTGATCGCCAGCCCCGTGGCGGTGAAGCTCGCGTTGATCCGGGGAGCGATGCATAGGAGAATGTTGCTGCGGGGGCTGGCGTTGCGACGATCGTCCACGCTCGTGAGGCGGCAGGCCAGCTGGATGATTCGACGCAACGCGGGCCGGCGCCCACGAATACTCAGGGGAGGTCGGTCGCGCACCCCCCTGATGAGGAAGAGACAGCCCGCGCTCCAAGCGCCGCACGGGCTCAGACGCTGATGGACGTGCGGACACATGGGGACGAGGTGCAGCAGGCACCTTAGCCCGGGGCCCGTCAATCCGCGCGCTATCCGCCGTACTCTCCTGCGCGCGGTCTCGACCCGCGGATGGGTCCATTACGCCCGAACGCAGAGCCGCGGACGCCAACGGGCCGTCAAAGGAGGGGCCTTGGATCTGCCTCAGCGCCAAAACCGATGCGCAAAGACGCAGCGGCGAGTTCCACGCGGCGAGGAATCCGCGTAGGGAGAGGAGGGAGACGAGGGGGACGTAGAGGAGGCGCTACGGTCAACGACGTAGTAGCTTCGCAAGGGCTGCTCACCGGATCCTACGGGGGAGGGCTACATAGGGGGAAGAGTCGAGTGACGAAAACTTTGTGGGTGACCCAACCCCAACCCCCTCTTTGGCCATGCCTAGCGGATGCAGTCTGTGCTGGGCCCGGGAGCAGGGGACTGGCTGCTGGCGATTCCACTCTTCCTCTCGCTCCGGATGGGCCCCTCGCAGCTCTCAACTGTAGCTGCCTTCCCATGCCTGGGCGTTGTGACTGCCGGTACCGCACCACCACGTTCCCCAATGACCGCCTCCCCAACCACCTCATGCGCTGCGAGAAGGGGAGGGGGAGGACTGCCACACACCTTGCTCTTAGGGATGAGATTGCTAACATTGGGGCGGAGGCGGGCTTCACAGTGCACATCCGCCATCCCCTGACAGGAGAGGTGTGGATGTGTGACGTGACTGTGACTGATTACGTGTCCCACCAGGATGAACACTGTAATCGAGCTCCTGGGTGGGCGGCAAGGGCGGCGGCAGCTAAGAAGGAGGAGAAATACGCGCGACGGAACGCGTGGGTGGGCTTCCATGCCCTAGCAGTCAAGACATACGGCTATCCCTCCCCGGGGGTGATGGATTACCTGCGGCAGTGCGCGGAGCTGGCGGCCAAGCTGCGTTTCAACACAGCACACACCTCGTACGATGCGGCCAAGCTGCTGACTGATTACCGCCAGCGCTGGAGTGTCTGCCTCCAACGGGCGCAGGCCAACGCCCTCCACTTCAAGACCAATGAGGCCTTGGCGGCGGACGAGCTCGGCATGCGGGGGCCTATTGCCTTCCTTAGTAAAGGGCAGCTGCACCAGTTGATTGAGCCCCCGTTCAACCACTAGGGTCGGACAGAGGGGGGGAAGGGAGTAGGCAGGAGTAGGTGTGGGATATAGAATTCTGGTTTGGTTGTTTGCTTTGCTTGTGTTTGGATTTTCCTTTGTATCACCCCCTGATTAATGCAAGGACCATTCGATGAAGAGAGAGAGAGAGAGAGAGAGAGAGAGAGAGAGAGAGAGAGAGAGAGAGAGAGAGAGAGAGAGAGAGAGAGAGAGAGAGAGAGAGGACCCTAGCCCTTGCCCTCTGCCCTCGGCCCTCGGCCCTCTGCCCCTGGCCTTCTAGCTATATAAGGGGCCTTCTTGGCCTCTCTTCTTCATTGTGTGGCGGTTGAAAAATTTTCCGCTCGTTCGAGAGAGAGAGAGAGAGAGAGAGAGAGAGAGAGAGAGAGAGAGAGAGAGAGAGAGAGAGAGAGAGAGAGAGAGAGAGAGAGAGAGAGAGGACCCTAGCCCTTGCCCTCTGCCCTCGGTCCTCGGCCCTCTGCCCCTGGCCTTCTAGCTATATAAGGGGCCTTCTTGGCCTCTCTTCTTCATTGTGTGGCGGCTGAAAAAATTTCCGCTCGCGCCGGCCGCCGACGGCGCGGCCTTCGGCTGCGCGCGAGGAGACGGCAAGAAAGGGCACACAAGGCAGTTCAAAGGCAAAAGCATTACAAGGATGGCATCATCTACTGCAGCCTAGCCAAGCAAAACATCAATGGAGCTAGAAGGGCCCGCGTCTACATGCGGTGAGCCCCAAGAGCGTGAAGAACGCCCGTCAGAGTCCGCCAAAGCTCCCGGACCACAAGCGTGCTTGCGCCGATCGCGGCGGCTCCAGAACCTGCACGCAAATGGCGCCGCAGGCCGCGGACAGCATCGTCAAGCTGTCCCGCAGCAGCAACGCCTCCCTCCGAGGGCGCAGCCAACACGGGCGCCAGCAGCTGGGCGAGCTGATCGGCCGCGTCAAGACACACGTCACACGACCGATCCTGAAACGTGTCAGGGGGAATCGCAGGGAGGGATGAATGAGCAAGCACTTGGATCAGCAGAACAGCGTGCAGGCTCTCAGCGAGGCGAAACAGCTGGCCGAGAACCGCCTCAGGTACTCGAGCCTGCGGTGGCTGAAGCGCCTCAGCCAGAAAGAGAAGCGACCCATCGGCGGGAAGAGGGGCCGACCCGCCAGCAACGGCAGGCAGGTAGGGAGTCGTCGCCGCCCCACTCCCCGCGGGCACAAATTCCACCCCCGCCACTGGCGGAACGGGCGGTAGCTGAAGACGGGACGTCGGAGCAGGGGCCGAGGCAGCGTGCGCAGGAGCCGCAGGAGGCGGAACAGGAGCCGGGACGGCAGCGGCCTGTGAGCGATTCACAGGGAGAGGGGCTTGCCGTGCAGCCACGAATGTCGGCGCCGCATGCATTGAACTGCCCTGAGACTGCGCCGCCCTCTCCTCGCGCATCGCGTCCGACACTAGCCGCTGCAGATCCGCCATCCTCACAGGCGGATCATACGCCATGCCGCCACCACGGCCTTGCGGACCCCACCACCCACCACGACCACTGCGGTGAGCAGGCCACTGGCCTTGCTGAGGATAGCGCCGAGGGGAATTGCGCCGGCGCCGGGACGATGCTCGCTCCTTCTGGGGAGCGGGGGAATGCTGGCGAGACTGGCGGCGGTCCGGTGACGGGGGACGCGATGGCTGACCAGCCGGAGGGTTCGGCGCAGCAGGAACAGGCTGAACCTCCGTCGCAGGCGACGCAATCGGGGCCGGGCCGCCAGTGGTGGCGGACGCCGCCTGCGGGGACGTCGCGGAGGCTGGAGCAGTCACGACGGGGACAACCGGGAGCAACACAGCGGACACGCCGGGTGCAGGGAGGTCTGCGGCAGTCCCGGCGGGAGCAGACGCCAGAGGCGCGCCGAGAGGAGCCAGAGGCGCAGGATCGGCAGGAGCGGGCGGAGCAGGAATCTGCGCCGGCTGGCCAGACTCCGCCACAATGGATGGACGTGCGAGTACGGGGGGAGAAATCTTTTCGGAGGTTGCTGTCGCGGGCATCGGAACCAGCGGTGCAGGGGGGTTCGTCGGAATGGTCGCCGTTTCGAGGGCAGACTGGGGCGTGGCGGTCCTTGCCGACCAGGCGGCAGCGCGCACTGGCGACGGCTCAGGAGCGCCGGCAATCACCATCTCAAGGACGAGGGCGTCGCGGGCCTAGGGAGCAGACAGTCAGCGGGACGGGCGGAGGACCGGAGAACGGGTATCAGGCGGAGGCACGCAGGGCTTTAACCACTATGGAGGCAACCTATGCGGAGGAAGAATTAGCAGACCCCTCTTATAGGGAGGAGGCTCTTCCCTCGAGAGAGGACGAGGAGCAGGAGGACGCGGGAGCTATGAGAGAACCTGCTGAGAGAGGGATTGCTGGGAGAGCGACAGCGGTGATAGCTTCAGGAGTGGAACAGCAGCAGGGGGCCCCTGGTCCGTTGGATGCCGAACGGACGGGCGAGATTCCAACTTCGAACGAACCAGCCACAGCGGGGCGCGCTGGACGAAATCGGTTCACCCCGGGCAACTCCGCGACGCGACCGTCTGGGCCAATTCCCCGCTATTTTTCAGCTGACGAGCTTGCAGAGCGGCTGGATTTGTTCGCTGCCATCGCGAACTGGGATGGCGCGGCCCTCAGCGACAGTCGTCAGCCTTCGCTGTCGAGGCGTTTACCGCCGAATCTGTGCCAGCTTTTCGCAGTCGCGATGCTGACACCGTTACTCCTCCTGTCGCGACACCCCGAGTCAGAGTCAGGATGGCGCCTGCTGCTGTTTCTCCCGCGATTGACACTTCGTCAAACCTCGCCGCAGCGACCGGATTGGAATGGGGTCAAGGCTCGGCTGCGGGCCTTCCGACGTGGCGAATGGGAACAGTTGTACAGGCAGGCGGTGGACGCGGTCAACACGCCACCTCCGCCACGGCACCAGCCCGACGCGACTGGGGTCATCAATCGTGCGGAAGGTCTGGCAAAACGTGGCAGTCTGCGCCGAGCCGTGCTGGCCCTCGAGTCAACGCCCGTCTGCACTCCTGGCCCAGATATTTTGGAGGAACTGCTGCTCACAAGGCAGTGACCTGGCCTGAACATCTCGGGTCAAAGTTGTCAACCGCCCATCCTGACTTCGCAAAATTGTTGGGGCGATGAGAAAACGGGGTGGGAGCCGGACCGTCAGGAATGACATTTGAGCATCTGCGCGACGCGGCGATTACCAACGCACTGGTCAGCACCCATCTGCACGCCTTGGTCAACACCATCCTGGGAGGAAATCTGCCAGGCTCAGTGGCGAATCTTTTAACAGCCTCACGCCTCATCGCCTTGGCCAAGCCGGGAGGGGGGGCTCAGCCAATCGCGATCGGGGAGTGCCTGACACGACTCACAGCCAAAGCCGCGCTGGCGCAGCGCGTTCTTTCTTTCTACCTCTACAGTACGGGGTGGCAGTGCCAGGTGGCGCTGAAGCAGTTATCCATGCAGCCAGGGCCCACATGGACGCCTGCCCAAACAGCCTAGTCCTACAGGCTGACATTTCGAACGCATTCAACAGCATATCGCGAAACGCCATCGCCTCCGCGTTACACGACCCCACCCTTTCGCCGCTGCTGCCACTAGTGAAACTAACGTATGGTAACCCGTCGCAACCACTCCTCGACTCCAATTTCAACTCGGACCCACTGAGTAGCGAACGGGGCGTACGCCAAGGCGACCCACTTGGCCGGCTCCTGTTCGCAGCAGGGATACACCCCACCCTCCGCGAAACAGCTGAAGCACATCCTGACGTGCTTTGCTTGGCGTATGCGGACGACATCACGTTCTTGGGTGATACACCGAACACTGTAGCTGCCTTCACATTCTTCACCGACAAGCTGGCACACCTGGGCCTGAAGCACAATCCCCAAAAGTGTGCGGCCTGGAGTGCAAATCCAGCAGAGCACGAGATGCTTCCACCAGGGGTACCTTTCTCGGGGGAAGGCGTGCGTCTCCTGGGAAGCTTCCTGGGACCTGACAGCGGCGCAGCTAAATTCCTGGCGGACCAGCTGGATGAGATGGCGAGGCCCCTTTCACTCATCGAGCGCGCTGATCCGCAGGTCGCCGCTCTCCTCATCACACGCTGTATCTCGAGGCGGGTTGCTTACCTTATTAGGACGACGCCGCTGCACCTGTTGCCTCGCGAACGTTGGAGCCAGTGGGGGAAAGACCTCCTCATTGCTCTGCTGACTTCATGCGACATACGCGTTCCCACGTGTAGGGCTGAGCAAGCGCGCGTATGGGACCAGGCCTCGCTGCCGCCGTCGCTCGGTGGGATAGGCATAACTGATCCCCTAGTTGAAGGGGTATACGGATTCGCGGCTAGCTTCACACAGGCCGCCTGCTTTCTGTCCACCCTCGAGCTGGGACCCGAGAATGCTTTGGCGCGGGCGCTGCTTCACATGCTACTACCGCGAGACAGCGGCACGCCGCTGCACGCTTGGCTTGCAGCGTGCGAGGCGGCGCTGCCCCTCGATGCTCGGGAACTGCTGGAGAAGGAGCGGCTCGAACGGTCCGATGTGAGGCTACAGCATGTACTCGGCCTCAAGGTTCATGGGAGCAGATATGCCGTGCAAGTGGCAGCAACACGACGCATGAAGCTGAATCCGCTCTCTGGCCACACGCAGCGGATGTTCTCTCTCACGGGTTACGGCACGGGCGACTGGCTCACGGCCATCCCCATCGCAGCAACACGGCGTATCGGGCCAGTGCACTTCGCCAACGCGGTGCGTTTCCGGCTGGCCCTGCCCTTCTCAACGCCGAAGAAATATGATTGCGCTGACCACACAGCTATCACCGACCCACGCCTCCCGAATCACCTCCTTCGCTGCGGCACGGGCAAGCACCGCATCAACACACACAATGAGCTGCGGGACGCTTGCATCAGCATGGCGCAGGATGCAGGTTTTATTGTTCATCGGGAGTCGGCCGCTCACAGCCCCATCGAAGAGCAAACGGCCGACTTCACGATGACGGATCGTAGCAGTGGGGCGGTGTACATCTGCGACGTCACGGTCACGGACCCCATCATCCTGAGGCTAAAAAAAGGCAGGGGGTGGGCGGCACGAGAGCAAGCAGACAAGAAGATCAAACACTACGCCAACCGCCCAGAGACGGTCGGCTTCTTCCCACTAGCGGTAGACACCTATGGCTGCCCATGCGCGGAGGTGCCCGTGTTCCTCAAGCTTCTTGCAGACACAGCGGCTCGGCGCCACTTCAACGCCGACTCAAAATCCTACTATGCCGCCAAGTTTCTGCACCAGTTTCGACAGAGATGGTCGGTGGCCCTTCAGAGGGCCCAATCTGTGGGCCTCCTTATCAAGTTGGGTGAGGCTGCAGCAGCAGAGAACCCGCCTGTAGGTGGTATAGGGCAGGAGTTGAATCTGGGGGACTGTTTTGCAGTAATAGAGCCCCTCCTGGAACTTTAGAGGGGGGGCGGGGGATAGTGTAGGATTTGCTTTCGTTACTACCTTTGCTTCTATACCTTGCATGCATGTAATTGGCTGCCATATCAATACAAGGACCATTAGAGAGAGAGAGAGAGAGAGAGAGAGAGAGAGAGAGAGAGAGAGAGAGAGAGAGAGAGAGAGAGAGAGAGAGAGAGAGAGCACCAATACGGCGCTTGCTGGAAAACTGAAGGCGGACGTGGCGGACCTCCTCACAGCGTCTCGCCTCCTTGCCTTCTCGAAGCCGCAGGGTGGTACGCGGCCGATAGCCTTAGGCGAATGCCTACTCCGCCTTGTGGCCAAGGCGGCCCTTTTCCTCGCTGCTCCAGCGGCGCGCGAGCACTTCACCCCGCTCCAGTTTGGAGTAGCAATCGCGGGAGGAATAGAGGCGGCAATACACACCGCACGCACCTACATGGAGGAGTTACCAGGAGCGACGGCGCTTCAAATAGATCTAGCCAATGCCTTCAATGCTGTGGAGCGCGCAGCAGTGTTCGAGGGCCTGAGAGGCATCGAACTCGAAGTCCTAGTGCCCCTCGTACGCTTCTCTTACGGCCACTCATCAGCGCTCTACCTCGACCATGACTTTGCGGCAGAGCCACTCAAGAGTGCACGGGGCGTACGCCAGGGTGACCCGCTCGGACCCATGCTGTTTGCAGCCAGCATCCACCCCTGCCTCGTCCAAGCAGCAGCGGCCCACCCGGACGTGGTGTTTCTGGCGTATGCAGATGACATCACTCTGCTCGGGGAGGCAGCGAGCTGCACGGCGGCATTCACACACCTCACAGAAGCCCTCCGCCTCCTTGGGCTTGCCCACAACCCGGCAAAATGTGAGGCGTGGTCCGCAGCTGCGCTTGACCCTGCCACCTTGCCTGCGGGCATCACGATCTCACCGGATGGAGTCCGCGTTCTCGGCA